GCATTTTTCCCCTGTTGTCTGATGTACCGGTCAAGGGCTATGTTTAATGTTCCACCGCCTGCAGAAGTCTGCAAATGCAGCACTGGTGTAGGCGGGGCCATTATCTGTTTTTAGTTCATTTGGGCGTCCCAGCGATGCAAAGGTCCGAATACAATGATTGATTACATGTTTAGTGGCTTCACCTCTTTGAAGTGTTGCCATGATGAACCCAGAAAAAGTATCAATAGATACGTGAATATACTTCCATGGGGAAAAGGAAGGATATTGGGTAACATCCATTTGCCAAATTTGACAGGCCACTGTTCCTCTGGGGTTAACCCTCATCGGAAGAGAGTGACCTTGGTGGCTGCAGGTAGGGCATTGTTATTATGGCAGATGCCTCAGCAGCCGTTAAACCAAATTGTTTCATGAGCGCCTTTTTATTTTGATGAAAATAAGCATGACCCTCCAAAGGAGACTGGGAGGAGAGAGACAGAACAAATAGTGAAGTAGTAGTAAAACATGAAAAGGAAAATGTCGAGTAGAAATAAGTGTCTTCAGTTTGAGAAATAAAGATCAGAAAAGTGTTGAAAAGCCAAGATAGAAGCAAAAAGTTCTACTCTTTGGGCCATATTTTTTTACTGCCATCAGCAAACACTGTGATGGCATCTGGAATAGGATAAGGTCGAAAAAGGTGATTGCCAAGCAAAAGGTAAAGTTTTGAGAAGTTGCCAGATGTCATTAATTTGTTCCACTGTGGCAAGTGCTCCAGATGGAACTGCAATGAAAATTTTCAGGTCGTTTTCCTTTGGTCACTAAATCAAATAATGGATTGAGCAAATTTGTAGGCAAAGAAGATGCCCAACAATTGTTATTTTTTCTGGGGCAACTTGCATTCCATAAAGACTTAAATCATGTTGTATTTCTGAAAGCCAATTAGATTGTGTCTTTGGTGTTCCAATTAGAATATCACCCATATACCAAAGCCAATGGGTGATATTTGTGCTTGCAATTCTAAGCAGAGGAAAAAAGTTTTAAAAGAACGACTCTCCCCCCCCCCCCCCCCCCCGTTTCCTGCCTCTTTTTCGCTTGTAAAGCAACACAGCCAGCCGGAAAGAGAGGGGGGTGGAAATCTCATCACCAAAAATTAGGTTTCTCTCCTTCATATGAATTCTCCGTAAAACTCTTCTCATGCAAACACTTTAATTACTTTTTCAATTACTTTTACAATAACAAAATCTATCATTCATTATTTCT